ATGGGATTGGGGGGGAAATGGGAATTGGGGGGGGAAATGGGAATTGGGGGGAAAACTGAAAATTAGAGGGAAAAAACGGGAATTGGGGGAAGAAACTGGGATGGGGGGTTAAAGTGGGAATTGGGGGGGAAAACTGAGAATTAGGGGGAAAAATGGGAATTGGGGGGAGAAAACCGGGAAATTAGGGGCGTAAAACTGGGAATTAGGAGGGGAAAATGGGGATTAGGGAAGAAAATTGGAATTAGGAGAGAAAACCCAGGAATTAAAGGGAAAAACAGAAATTAGGGGAGAAAATGGGAATCAGTGGGGAAAATGGGAATTAGGGGGAGAAACAAGAATTAGGGGGAAAAACTGGGATTTACGGAGTGTGGGGTGGGGAAAAACAGGATTTAGGGGATGTGGGGTGAGTTTGGGGTCACCAGGGTGGGGGGGAAAATTGGGATTTAGGGGTCAAATCCCCCCAAATTTCCTAAAACTCCTACAAAATCCAACATAACCCCCCCAAAATCAAAACCTTTGAAAATTCCCAGAAAAATTCCCCAAAAAAATCCCAGAAAAAAACCTCCAAAAATCCCCTGAAATTCATAAAAAAATCCCTGAAAAATCACCCAAAAAATTCCCTAAAAATTCCCAAGAATTCCCCAGGAATTCCCGCCTGCCCGGGGCTCACCGGGGACCTGGTGGCCGCCGTAGGTGACGTTGAGGCTGTAGGTTCCGGGCTCGTACGGGATGTACTCCACGGAGCAGCTCCCGTCCTTGTTGTCCGTGCAGGACATTTTGGCTTCCGAGGGCCCCTCCACGGCCAGGCCCAATCCCCCTGTGCCGGCCCCCCTGGAAAAACGGGATTTGGGCTCGTGGGAGGCGGAGATTTGGGGAAAAAATGGGATTTGGGGTCGTGGGAGGCGGAGATTTGGGGAAAAAATGGGATTTGGGGTCGTGGGAAGGGGAGATTTGGGGAAAAAATGGGATTTGGGGTCGTGGGAATCCCAGTAGGATTTGGGGGATTCCCAGTGGGATCTGGGACAATTCCCAGAAGGATTTTGGGGATTCCTGACTGGATTTTGAGGATTCCCATTGGGATTTTGGGAATTCCTGTTGGGATTTCAGGAATTGCCATTGGGATTTCGGGAATTCCCACTGGGATTTTGGGAATTGCGTTGGGCTCGGGGCTCTCACCGGGTCTCGACGGTGAATTTGTTGGGCACGTTGGTGGTGCCGCTCTGGATGCCGGGGCCGTGCACGCGGACGCGGGCGGGGTCACAGCCCTCGGTGACGGGGACACGGAACGGGCTCAGCGGCACCGGGGACCCGCCGTACGTCACGTCCACCGTGTGCAGGCCTGGGGGCAATCCCAGATCCCTCCAAATCCCAGCCAAAATCCAGAAAATCCCCCAAAATCCCTTCAAATCCCTCCAAATCCCAGCCAAAATCCAGAAAATCCCCCCAAATCCCAGCCAAAATCCAGAAAATCCTTCCAAATCCCATCCAAAATCCATCAAATCTTTCCAAATCCCATCCAAAATCCATCCAATCTTTCCAAATCCCATCCAAAATCCATCCAATCTCCCCAAAACCCGCCAAAATCCTTCAAAGTCAAACCCCCCAGAGTTGCCCCAAAATCCCTGGATTTGTGCCCCAAACGCCGCCGTGTTTCTCCAAATCCCGCCCGTTCCCGGAGCGGGAGGCGCGGCGCGCTCACCCTCCTCGTAGGGCGTGTACTCCACGTGGTAGGTGCCGTCGCCGCGATCCTCCACGAAGGTCTCGGTGACGTTTCCGGAGGGGTTGGACACCAGGGCCTTGAGCAGGGGACCCCCGGCCTTGGCCACGGCGCGGGCGTCCACCTCGAACTCGGTGACGGCCTCGCGGAACACGCCTGGCACCGGGAAGGTGGTGGGGTCAGCGGGGTCAGTGGGGTCAGTGGGGTCAGTGGGGTCAGCGGGGTCAGCGGGGTCAGCGGGGTCAGTGGGGTCAGCGGGGTCAGCGGGGTCAGCGGGGTTGTCTTCTGAGGCAGCTGAGCCCAACTCAACCCAACTGAACCGAACCAAACTCAAGCCAACCCAATGAACCCAACTCATCCCAACCAAACCCAACCCAACCCAACCCAATTCATCCCAACTCAATCCAACTGAAACCAACCCAACTCAACCCAACCCAACTCATCCCAACCAACCCCAACCCAACCCAACCCA